AGGAGGATGCGGTCAGACCCACCTGGGCAGTTTTTCTTAAAGCAAGAATTGTAGACTCTTCTGGTCAGACTCATCTGGAGGTTTTACTAGAAATGCAGATTGTCGAGCTCCTCTTTTGGCATACTAAATGGCGATCTCGAGGGGGTAGGATTTGGGGAACTATTTTTACAAATGTCTTGCTTTAAATACGGGATTTTTATTCAGTCTGAAGTTTGAGAATCAATGAATAGAGGAAATGGAAAAGGTAGGAGTTTTAATGATCCTGCCTGTGGTGCAGGAAGCCCGTAGAGCAATTAAAACAAGCGCCGGCGCGCGCTGTTAGTGAGCTTGGAAGCAGCCGATAGAGAAATAAAATCAATAGCGGGCGATCTGGTTCCTTTTCCTTCTGTCTTATTATTTTGTATTCAGTAGAATTTGGCATATATCGTTTGATTCTCTTCCCCTAGTGGGATAGTACCAGAAAACAATGGCTGTTGGCTATGACAGAGTTGACATAATGTAAATTTCAAATCTGAAGAAAAGAATTTAAGAATATTTGGTGAATTTAGACAACATTTGCAAAGCCAGGAGTATATCAAAAGCCGATTTTGATCAGTCCCTTCTTAGAGAAACTATGACATATTGCCCTGACTTTCAATTTAGAAAATATGGTAATTTCAGGTTTGCGGCTAATGTGAAAGTTATAATCAATATCAGATGTTTTAACTATATAGTATTTACATATTTGTGCATTTCTTTTAAACAAGGAGGATTTTTTTTTATGTCACCTAAGAAGACCAGCAGCAGGTGGTTCCAGGTTGGGATTCAAGGGCTCAGGGGAGGCGGCTCTTGCCGTCTCCCCCATGACACTCCCAGCTCTCTCTGTGTGGGGGTCACAGGAGAGGCCAGGTCCCCGTCTCGTGCCCACCTCCCCGTTCCTAAACAGCTTTTTAAGGTATAATTGGCATGTAATAAATTGCACACACTTAAAGTTGTAGGGTTGAAAGTGTGAGCGTGCATGTGTGCGCGCATGCGCGCGCGCACACACACACACACACACACACAACACTGTCACCATAGTGAGCGTTTTCACCACTCATAAAAGTTTCCTGTCCCCTTCGTCCCTCTCCCGTCCACTTTCTTCATCCTTTTGTGGCATCTTTGAAGCTATTCAGGAAAAGAATGACATCGTCGAGGATAAAGTCCTGGGTGGAAGGGTATTAAATTTGTAGTCTTAGCTGTTTTCTTTTGGAGGACCATAGTAGAAACGACACGATGATTGGAGATATCGGTTACTGTCTCATTTATAGAAATTTCGAGAAACAGATATTTTCGAGCAGACTCTCTTTGAGAAGCTTGACAGAGGACATAGATTTTCACAGAGATCGACAAGTGGTCAGAATGGCTCCTGCCGGGATGGCGGGGGGACAGGGGAAGGCGGGGGGTAGGGTGCGTGCAGGAGGCTCAGACCTGAACGCCAAGTGCTTTCGTGCGCTTAGGGTTTCCATAGATGGTATTTCTAATGTGCCGAAAAATCGAACATCGGTTCCAACGTGGAAGGAGGGTAGAAATACATTCCTCACACAACTGAAGGGTCAACATAGCTCAAGTGCGTTTTATTCTAGTGAATTGTTCGTTTTATGAATGACATGTTGATGATTTATTTATTTATAGATTATAAAATTTTTTTGCCCCATCACTGTAATAGGGTTTTGGCTGGACATTTTTCTTTTTAATCTCTAAAGGCATTTGCTGATGTTAGTTTCTGCTGCTGAGAGCATTATATTGAGTTGATAGCCATTCTATAAAGAATTAGTAAAATGTATAGGGTTCTATTTTAATGTATTTCTTCAGCTGTCTCCTAGCTTCTCCTGCTCTCTGAATTCTCTTGGTTCTTTATTCTCATTTCTTTCTGGTTTTCCATGTGTTTTGTTTAGAAACTAACGTGCTTGTGAAAATGGCAGCCTTTCTGTCATGTTTTAGCCTTACTAGAAATGACGTTCTTTGTTCTATGTCTGTTTAGTTGAGAAATGAACCACTTCTCTGTTCTTATAAATGCTGGCTGGTCCTTGGAGGAAAGAGAGAGAGAGAGAGAGAAGTTAATGTGGAGTATAAATCAGGTGTTAAGTTGAGTACTCTGTATAAAGTTGTCTCGACATCGAAGGCTAAGTATGGGTGAGAATTTCCCTGGAATAGCGTTCTTTGGTTCTTTGCTAGAACTCTTGATGACTTGATGGTCCTGTGAAAGTGAGACTTGGCGCATTTCTCATTTCTGTGGCATAACTCACCGGCGTGGGATCGCAGCTTTCCGGTGTTGGGTTGAGGGTCCTGTGCATGCTACTTAATGCCCACAGTGTGGGGGTTAGTAGGATTTTTCAGCATTTCCTGTTCGGTTACTGGTTGTCATTTTGGATGGAGACTCTCCTGGAGTAGACTAGCCTTCTCTTCCCCCTTGATGTAAAAATGTCAGTACTGCCAGTTAGGGATTTGTTTGGAGTTAAAGAAACCCCTTTCGTCTTTGTGTACACTGGCGTTTATCCCATCAGTCCACGTGTAGTCCTAATGCCTGGGCCTCACTGAAAGGATGCTTTCGGAGGAGAACGGAGGATAGATCATTTTGGTCCACGAGTCCCTCTGGCTATGGCCCAGGAGGGGGCTAGGAGGGTGTTTTGTGAGCAGAGTTTCAGCTTGGGCCTGTCCTTTGGAAAGAATAAAAGCTACTCAGGCCCCGTGTCTCTTCAGCAGATCTGAGGCCGAGTAGGCGGTTGTCAGAACGTGTCAGTGGAAATGTGCGTGTATTCCAAACACCCGCCTCAGCCAAGGGGCTCTGGCGACTGCTCACGGTTGAAGGTGGATCAGGTGCTCCCAGGTGTGCATTGTCCTCCTGCCCTCTTTTAATTTATTCCGTTGGATTCTGGGGTCCTTGATATTAGGGATGTAGTAACTCCTGGAAGCCATTACCTTTCTCCACCCAAAGAGCAAACTCATTTGAAAACTGTTGACTAAACACCTTAAATTACCTGAAATTTGGACTGACATACTTTTGTGAGTTGGTGATTTTTAGAAATGATTTAGAAGACTTGAAAAGCTTCTGAGTACTTTATCTTGTCATCAAGAAGAAGTTGCTTAATAAATACATGTATCTTGGTAAAAAAAGGTGCATAGAGATGTTTGATCTGAGTACATAGACTTTTTCTCATTTGTAATAGGAAATATTTTAGCAAAACAAAACTTGACTAATGCTGTACCGCTGACTTCTTGCCTTTTCCTGTAAAGATGCTGAGCTTGTCTGAGCGCTACTAAAACAACACACGCATTGCTTTGATGGGGCAGCGATTCTTCCAGAGTGTGCAAAATGACTTGCACGCCTCCAGCAACACGTGCATATGTGACAGGCTTTATGGGAGATGTGCATCCCAGAGAAATGAAATGCTAGTTTACTTTTCAGTGGCTATGGAACTTTAAAAAAAATCATGTTTTCAGAAACGTGGCCCTGAGGCACTAATACGCTCGTATCTAGTGCACGAAGCTCTGCGAGTTATTTTGAACAAAACCGAATCAAGGGAAGCAGAAACCTGATGTTTATAGAGTTCGCTTACAGGCAGACCTCAGAGATATTGCGGGTTCGGTTCTGGTACTTAGCAAAGCGGGTCGTAATCTCTTTAAAAAAGGTGGGGTCTTGTCTTCAATTTGTAAAAAAAGAATAAATAAATAAGCAACATCTTGGAGCGCAATAAAGTGAAACACAGTCAAACTAGGTGTGCCTTTATAGTGATTGTTTTAAGCCACCAGAAAGGATAGCCTGTTCCTTTTAATAAAATCCTTTTGGGCAGTCGTCTGTATTTTAAATCTCTACGTATTTTTGGAATTGGATTTTTAACGAGGTGAACTCACACTTTAGGCATCGTAGGATGAAACGGAAGTAGGAGACTGAAGGAAGGAATGGTACTTAGACCTCAGTTCTTTGCTCGTGATGCTCCCGTTTACGCTCGCGTGGGGGCCGCTGTGCGCTTTGCCTGTTAGCGCCTGCTGTCCGGTGAGGACCGAGGACCGAGGACCTTGGATCCTGGGGTCAGGTTGACCTTTCGTTGTGGAGAGGGGACTCAAGGTGACTGTCACCGTGATGATCGTGTCTACCTTTTTTACTAGTGAAATGAATACGGAACTTGTTTACTGTAGCTACTAATCGCTATGCTTGCTTGTTGCTGCTGAGTATGTCCGTCATGATTTAGGTGGTAGCTGCATGTTGCAAAAACAAAACCTTAGCTCTTTCTGTCCTCTTTAAAACACAAGCTATTTTAATTTGGCAATGGGGAAGATGAGTAAATAATAATATTTGTTGAGGACATTAAGCCTAACCTGTCAGATACCTTTTTCCCTTGTCGGATGGTCCTCGTGTCAAGCTTCTTCTAATTCTGTGTAATTCCAGTAGAACTAGCGAGTGATTTTGCCTGAGATGTCTTTTTTCCCCCCCCTGTGCAGTGAGAGTGGAATGTGGGAACAGATCTTAATAGATACAGTTACACAGTTTATTTTATCATGTATCACTTTATTGCTGTCTTCTAGAACATTGTTATACTAAATGTTCCAATAATGGAAATTTTATGCAGCTACATCAAATGAAACAAATTTGCAAAACTCAATTTTGGAACTCATTCCTTGGGGAGAGGGAAAAAAACTCACCAAGCTGTGACCAAATTAGATTTCTGATATGTTGGCAACTTGTCAAACACTGTCATTTCCAGAAAACAGGGTGTGGGGTCCGGTGGAAGTGTCCGTACTTTTCAGTCACTTACAATGAGAGAGATTTGGGGGTTTTAATATGATTGAATGGTTAATTTTGTACAAAAATTTTGCTGGTAACAGGTAATTAAAATTTGGTTTTGTACCTAAATGAAAATGGCTCTACACAGAATCGGGAATGACTGTGTTCAATTTACAGGGGAGTCTTCTTTTCAAGAACTGAATTTTAAATTCTCAAAGGTACTAGTTTTACTTACTGGAGCTCCTTTGTTTTGCAGAGATCATGACGCAGCCGCCCTTTTGGATTTCTTTTTAATAATGTGTGACCCTTCACCTTTGATCCCCTGACCTGCATTACCTTGGTAACCATTTCATTTTTTAATTTAATTTCATTTTTTAATTTTGGTGTACAAGCTGTAACATTTCATCTCTCAAAGTGTAACACGCTGATTTCTTCAAATAGAGATATCCCTTTGAGCGATAAATTTGCAAAATGCTGTCGTCATTTTCTGTATTAAAATTCATTTCAGTTTTTAAAATAAAGTGTAATCTGTGTTTTCATCCTTTTAAAATTTCAGTTTAATGAGTGCATTTTCCCATACAGTATATCTCCTTTTCTATTCATGGTTCTCAATGGCTAAATTAACTCCTGGTTCACACAGAACTCACACACACAATCCAACCCTTCCATACACTCACACTCACGTGTGTGCACACACACACTCACACTCACGTGTGTGCACACACACACTCACACCCTTCTCCTGCCCACCACCGCTGCCTCTCCCCTCCACACACACCGTCCTCATCGCCACGTGCCCCCTTCCCTTTTGCACCTTAAATTGTGTTTCAGAAATTGTGGCAATTCAAAGTTATTACCCTTAGCTGCCACATTCTGACTACGTTTTATCCTCTCGAATACCTGGGAGAGAAAGTGTAGCCCTTTCATTCTATGTAAGGGCTAGAAGAAAGTTGTCTCATTTCCAAAATCGCTTTTCCCTCTCCTTTTAACATTTTATTTCTTTATTTGAGGCATAAGTTAAGAATAAGCAGTATTTTATTAACATGATCAAAAATGTCTTTTTGTCTCTGCTGAAACCTGGTCAGTCAGCTGTGATGGTCCATATACCAGATTGCTTTATGCCATATGTTATTTTATGATTGTTTTTCAGATAATGCATTTTTTTATCGTATTTTTTTTTTTTTTTCAGAAAATTCTTATTCCAAAGCAAAACAAACCAAAAATCAAGCTTGAGTTAATTCTTTGAACTGGCAAGATAATCCTAAGAAATCACGTCCTTTAAAAAAAAAAATCCTGTGAAATCTCTCAGCATGGCCTGCTGAAGCAGATTATTTTTTAAGTGTCTCATTATTTTATTCTCTAACATTTAATGCCGAGGCTTTAATTGCACGCAGCTGAAGCTGCTAAATGAGCATTGAAATGGATTTAAGTCCTCTCTGAGCTTTGTTGATACCTATAAAAGTTTATGTCATTCATTAGAACCACAAATTAAAATTAGTTGTAGGGAGCTGTTCACGAGAGGTTGGAACTCTCGTGAACTCTTCGGGCTTCTAGCTCATTTTTGTCTGTAATACTTAACATACCTGCAAAACTGCCTTTGGCCTGTTGGGTGTCTTTTCACAGAATCACAAAATACCAGAGCTGAGAAATGCAAATAGGTAAACATCCTATGATTATAAAGCCAGAAAGTACATGGGAATAAATGTCCCAGGAGTTGGGAGCAACTTACTTAGCAAACCTTGCATTTCAGGGGGATGTTTTCATGGAAACGATTTCAGCATGCTTGCCAGGTCCGGTCTTCATCAGCTCCTTTGAGGCCATGTCCTTCCAGCACCAGACGAGCGGTGTGTAGCTCGGGGGTCGCTGAGCAGAGACTCAGGGGGCTGAGAGGGGGGTGACGTGCCCCCATTCCTCTCGCTTAAGCAGCCCTGTGCCCACTGGACCGCTGAGGTGAGCTGGCCTCTGGCCCCCAGAGTCCCAGCTCCCTGATGGCAGAATCAGGGCCTCTTGACACCTCCCCAGGGGCTCACATGTCCTCTAGACAGAGTCCAGTGCTTTTTAAGTCCGGGACGAGCTAAAGAGACGTAACAGGTACTGAAGAGAAAAGTTTGCGTTGGGATGTTTTACTTTGCAGTTAGGTCAGTCAGATTGTCTTTAAAGTTTTCTGCTGGGTACGTTTTAAGGTAACCTGATTTTTCTAAGAATGCTTGTATAGGGACACATTACTTACCTTCAGTGAACGTTGCTTACTGGTTAGTATTTAGGAATGCTAGTGAGTTGTAAGCTACGCGGATACAGTTTTTGGAAGTGTGATTCAGTGAGAGAACCGTCTGAGAGTCAGAAAACCTGCTTTTGACAAGCACGGTTTCTGGATACGTCATTGGTGTCTTTTAAGTTAGTCACACAAAGCTTAAAAAACTCAAATAGAAAGACTTCAAAAGACTTTCGTGTTGGTGCTGAAAACAGTGAATTAATTGTTTGGCTTAACATGTAGGAGTTTGTGAAGCGTTTCCTGGTTCCGCTTCAGTTGTCGTCTGTGCGAAGTGTGGGTATTGTGTGTCTCCTGCTCGCCTTCCAGGGTGTTGGCAGATTAAACGCAGCTCTGCATGGTGGAGACACTGTGTGGGGACCCAGAAGAGGTGCTTTGAACTCCAGGCTCTCCCTGGGGCTGTGCCGATGGCAGCTGCGGCGGTCATGCCCGTGGGGGTGGCCGGCTGGCTGGGGTCGAATCCCACTGCAGCCTCTTGCCAGAGGCCTGACTCAAGACGAGTCACCCAATCTCTCTGTGCCCCCGTTTCCTCCTCTTTGCAATGGGGATGACAGGGATAGTGCTCGTTGCGAAGGTCACGATGAGCAGGGCCGGCGTGCGGGGCAGGTGGTTGGTGCACGCCGGGAGGAACCGAGGCGTCCGGGGCTTTCGATGAGGTGGGGTTCTGAGGGCAGCCCACACCTTGCAGAAAACGGAACTTGAAAGGGTGCCCCTCTCAGTCCTCTAACATGTCACGGAGACGCGGGCGTGCCGCTGGGGATTGTGGTCGGATGGCGCGTGGCGATCAGGCAGATGCAAGTTCAGGTGCATGAGGTCCCTAGTCTTGGCGGAAGAAAGTTTAGGTAATTAAGAGCCACTGAGCCCTTTGTCGATGGCTTCTTCGGTTTTGGCTGTTTTTGGCTGTTTTTGGCTGTGGGAGAGAGCCCCCCTCCGCTTGGCCACGCACTCGTCTCCTTTGGCCTCGCTCAGCTGTCTGACTGGCTGTCGGGGCGTCACAAGGTGTCTGACTGTTGAGAACTCTCTGCCCAGCTGGCTGAGGCCTCGTCACTCGCTCCTCGCAGACTGAGTGGGAAGTGCCTACCGCGCCACGTGTTCTCGTGGTCGCTAACCGTCTCTGTGTCTGTGAGGCTCAGGGCCAGGCCCCGGGAGATCGCAGGAAGGGGACTCAGATGTCAGTGCTGCCCCTCCTCTGGCCCCCGCTGCCCACACTTCCTGGCGGACCCGGCTGTACCCCAGACAGGAAGTGGTCCTGTCACTCGGTTGCAGGGGCCCTGGCTGTATTCAGTGCCATCCCTCAGCCGTCAGCACCCCTGACTAATGCCTCCGGCGACCCGCCACCGCCATCGCCGGGAAGGCTGTCACGCGTGTGGCACTCGTAGAGACCCTGTAGCAGTGGCTTCCTCCATGTGGGCAGCACACCCGAGGTCACTTGTACAGCTTTAGGTTACGGAGCACTGATCCCATCTCGGACTCTGGTCTGGCCGTTCCAGCAGAGAACCGATCATCGATAATCGATAGGTACAGAAATGCAGGACGTTTATGTCACAAACAAGACAAAAATGTGCATCATTTGTGCACCTGGAGACCCGTGCTCCCAGACTCTGGGCCAGTGTTGTTAACGCTGTAGTTCTCTACATCATAAGTGACAGGGGCCCTTTGCAGGAAAAGGCCCCACCGCCCACTCCAAGGAATGCTGGTCCCTGGACGTGGGCCTTGTGCCTCGCAAAGACCAGACTCCACATCAGTCCAGAGCGGAGTACGGTGAGGGGGCCACATTTTCTTCTCCTTTGCCCTTTGACCTTCTCCCCCCCACTTTTATGCATTTATTTTTACGTCCTCTCCTCCTCTTCTCCCCGCTTCTCCTCCTCCCATCTTTATCCTCTGTGTAGCAGATACTTATGGGCGTGTCTGTCATCAGCCTGTAAAGTACTCGAAGTCCTCCCCGAGGCCTAGCACGTAGTAGGTGTTGAAATCGACATTTCTTAATTCGTCTCAGTTTGTTTTTCAAGGGAGTAGGCACTACCCCTCATTGGCCTGAACGTTGTCAGATTTTGTTTGTGACTGTCTACCCTGATTTGAGTGGTTCATCTTGAAAATTTAGGTAATTTAGTGTTTTGGATTTAGATAGTTTGGGGAATGCCAGGTGTCAGTCACTGAACAGCACAGTGTGCTGGGCTCCGGGACGGCCCTCCCTGCT